AACTGCACTTTTCAAAGGTTGCTCCTTCCTTTCTAAGTCTCCTGGACCTAAAGTAGAGGTTGCAGACTACCCTACAATGTGATATTTTAAGTTTTCTTTTGAGTTAGCTTCTAAATTTACAATTTTCACATTAAAAATATTTAATTTCTCTTGAAAAATTGGAAGACATGTTAAGACTGGGTCTACATTCCCTTCTGGCAAGAATGGGCTGGAGTTGAGTGGTAACAGCTGGCCTTATAATTAGAGCATGCACTCAGTCTTATTCTTATACCTGGCTCACCATACTCATATATATATGTATATATGTATATATATATGCCTGGCTCCTGTAAGCATTTGAGTTTAAAACCCCAGGTCTAAACTATGACTGGATACTTGATGTATACTAGCTGGTGGCTATTTATCTTTATATCTATCATATCTTCCAGAAAAGTTCCACATAGCATGTCTATCTGAGAATCCCCACAATGCCTAGCACAATGACATAAACATAGGAGAATACTTAGTGTAAGGTAAATAATGATGATGTTGATAATGAAGACCTAGTCTGCCTTTTCTTAGCTAACCCATCACTCAACAAAACTACAGTTAGCCCATTCCAAAATGCAATACCAAGAAAAAGTATTCTATATGAGGAAATTGAATAGCCTAAGAAAGCATTAGAGTGGAGAGGCAGCACCAGGAAGGTTGACTTCAGTGATACTAGCCCAGTTTCTGCAGCTAGAGCAAGAAGTTTGAAATTTATCCATTGCAGTTAGTAGGTGTTTGTGACTCCCATCCAATGCTTCTTGCTGGAAAACTGTTGGTCCCTACTTCCTCACTCATTTTGGACAGCTGAGGCCCAAAGGCAGAAAGAAAAGAGGAAGGATGATGGGTAGTGGTGATGCACAGTGGATCGGAGAAGGGACTATCAACTTGTGTGGCAGTTACTTTTCCTCTCTATTTTCTAACATAAGAAAGTACAAACTGAGGCTACTCCCAACCTGTGGAACCCACAGAGTTGGTTAGAGCTTCAGAGTGAGGGACAGGTTAGGATTTGAATCCAGACCATATAGCTCACAGTCACAACATTACTGCTACACAAAAAGGATTTACCATGAAGCTAGTAAAGCTCAACCTTCAGGGCCCCTTACTTATAGAAGCTTTCTGGGGCAGGACTATAACAGTGAGTTCGTGTGGTCACTATGAAACTTACAAAAGATATTTTAATAACAAATGCTTAAGAGCCATGTAGTTTTGTTTTGCTTTGTTTTTGTTTTTTTCACAGAGACTCTCTCCAATATCTCCCACTTGTTGGGCATTTTGGGGATCTAAGAGGAAATTGAGTTGGGTTGCAATTACTGAGTTAAATTTATGTGATTTACAGTCAAGTTTTTTATTGATTTGAGAGAGAAAGAGAAACATCACTTTGTTATTCCACTTATTTATGCATTTATTGGCTGATTCTTGTAAGTGCCCTCATTGGAGACTGAACCCGCAATCTTGGGTGTATCAGGATGATGCTCTAATGACCTGAGCTAGCTGGCCAGGGCCTACATACCTTTTCATTAGAGTTGTTATTGCTATACACGCAGGTATAGAAATGGCTTTCAAGAATACCCCTATTGGCCCTGGCTGACCAGCTCAGTTGGTTAGAGCGTCATGCCCATGCACCAAGGTTATGGGTTTGATCCACAGTCAGGGCACATACAAGAAACAACAAGTACATGCATGAATAAGTGGAACAACAAAATGATGTATCCTCTCTCCCTTACTTTCTCTCTCTCTATAATCAACTTTTTTAAATTTTAAATTAAAAAAAAAAGAATATCCTTATTATTTACTAGGTGCACACATCTGACATTGTGACCCAAAGTTGTAGGACCAGAGGTCATATCTTGATATAAGTGGCATGTATGTAGATTGTGGAAAAGAAACCAGGTTTGAAATGTTTGGAGCCAGAACCTAGTTTGTGGAACATTCTTCCAATCATCATATATATAAAATTTCAAGTGGAGGATTCAGTTATTACTAATACCTGGTATGGTAGCAAGCATCAAAGATAGACCTCAATGATCTCTGCCTCCTTAGTCCCTCCCACATTATGTCAGGGTTGATCTGCATGAGCAACAGAATTTGGAATAAGTGATGGTGTATGTCACTTCCAAAGTTATATCATAAAAAGCATTGCACTTACAGCTTCTATCTTGGTCTCTCTCTTTCTCTCTCCCTCTCTCCCTCTCTCTTTCTCTCTCTTGTTCTAGAGGAAGTCAGCTGCTCATATCCTAGGCAACCCTATGGAGAGGCCTACCTGGAGAGAAGCTGATGTCTCTTCTTCATAGCTAAATGAGTGAGCTTGGAAAAGGATCCTCTAGCCACAGTCAAGCCTTCAGATGCCTTGTAGCCCTGGCCAACAACTCGATTATAACCTCATAAAAGACCGTCAGCCAGAACCACCAGTTAAACTGCTCCTGAATTCCTGTTCCACAGAAACTGTGAGATAAAAATGATTTGTTATTTTATGCCACTAAATTTTGAGGTATTATATAGCAATAGATTACTAACACATCTAGTAAAAATGATAGTTCTCTACCAGCCAAGAATATATTCAATAATTCAATAATAATTCAACAATGTCCTAGTGTTTATATATGTAGGAAACTTGATTAGGTTTCCCTAAATTTGACAATAATTCTATAATTTTAAAGACATTACTAATAAATTGTGAGACTGAAGGAAACTTTTCTAAAGTATCATTGATAAAAATTGTTTTTATTAAAGATGCTAGGAGAGTAATTTTTTTCATTCTCTTTATAGAAAGTATTACTAAATTATTGTCATATGAATAAGCAATCAAAGTGTATGCAGCTAACAATATAGAAAAATGTATTATAGGTTTATTAGTAAAAAAAAATTATGACTTTTTTGAGTTTGTAATGTATATGGAACAAAGTTGGGTTTTTTTAAAATGTGTAATTTGTCGTGATTTCTTTTCCTAGTACTTTAGAATCAGTTTTGTCTCAATAATTGTGCATTCTTTTCCTAGTGGAGTCTATGAAACCTTTGCTGTTATATTAGATAGTCTAAAATCTTTCGTCAATTAAGTATTGAAGAGGTCCAGAGATTGTTTGAAATTAATTTAGATCCAAGGTGGGGTTGGAGTAAAAAGAATCTGGCATTATGCCCTTGGTCTAGAAAGAAATTTTACCCCTTTATAACATACAAGGTGCAAGCCTACATCCACCTCTTGAGAATTCTGTTTGTAATACTAGGGGGAGCGGGGGAATCCCCATTGGACCATACCCTGGCCTTCAGTGGATCACCTGACTAGTTCCCTCTCTTTTAAATAGCCCCAGGCTTTTAACTTCTCTCTTCTTCAGTATCCATTTTACTGCATTATTTTTCTCTCCCCCCTTGGAAGAAACTAATGGAAACTGTATTTCATTCATTCTAAAATGTACATGCTTTCCAAATCTACCATCTCTGATCAATGACCTGTCAGAATTCAATTGTAGGGGTTTTTTTCTTTCAGAAGATAAAATATGTTTTACAATGATACTTTAGGTTTGATAAAATATTATATAACTATATATGGCATACCAGTAAGACAGCAGCTTGAAAAGCCCTAGGCTGGAAACCCCTTCAACTGTTTGGAAAACCTTTTATTAAACAAAAAATAGAGGTATTGTGGCACAGGCAGAAATTGGTCACAAGGAGCCTGCCTGTTAGGTCTGGTTGACATGGTAACCACAGAGTATTGTCATGTAAGGTAGGGACTGGGTCTAGAATTCCAATGCTGTGACTTCTTACTTTGAAAGAAGATAAAAGCCCAAGTGTGAGGAGACTAAGGACCCAGTTGTGGGCTGGCTGGACTCCTTCACCAAGCTGGTAAGTGGCAGAAGCAGTCCAACAATAAATAAAAGGTACTGGGAGTCCCATCTGCTTTACTATCAAGTGTATCCTTTCTTAGTAGCATAACTGTGTCCTCTCGAGTTCAGTAAAATGTTGCCACCTAAGCAAGTTCTGTTGAGCCTCTCACCCTGGGCATTTTAGGCTCCTAATTTATCACTGCAATCTATTGAAGTTTATTTGAATACAAAAAAAGATAGAAAGAATGTGAGTTAAATTAATGAGAGATTATTTCTCAGGAATGAGATTAATAGAGAGGTTTAAACTTTCTACTCTACATATCTGTATTATTTACAATTAAAAAAACACTCATATATATCATTTTTATGATTGGAGGAACAAAGGTAAAAGTATTCAAATGGGAAAATATAGGTTAATGTTAATAATTGAGGAGGCCAAAGTTCATCATGCAAATCAAATTTCAAAGCTCAAATCAAAATTCTTTCTTATTCTCCAACCCTCTTTTTTGTGCGCATGAATTGTTTTTTCAATACAAAATTTGTTTTAAGAATTACAACTCCCCCAAAACCTAACTTTCCTTCTTCAAATAAAAATAAATGCACAAATCCATCAACATTGGATGGGAAAAGTAGTTTACTCCTAAATAAGATGTCCACACAGTTGGGACGATTAAGCAAATAGTTTTGGTAAGAAAAAACTGAGAGCCTACTGTGCGGCAGACAGTTCCCCTGGCTTTCTCGCTTACTACCTCATTTCATTAAAACAAAAAAAAAAACTTAAAATCAAAGATGGCTTCAAGAAAACCGTTAACTTTATAAAACGCATTCTTTGGAAAGGAAGGGCCTGGGTTGCCTAGCAACTCCCCTTTCACGTGACCCTGTGACCAGGGCCGCCATCTTAGCATCACCTCATAAAGGAACTACGTCTCCCAGAATCCTTGCGATTGCGTCGTGCTGGCACTTTTACCGCCCCGTCTTAGAGCTAAGCCTGTAGCCGGGCGCCATCTTTGACGCTGGCAGTCTCGGATTTCTGCTGGTGTTGCTGCTCTGAGGACGGCGGAGGGTAACGGCTAAGAAAGAAGAAAGACGTGGTGCAAGCGGGAGTCGGGGAGAGTGTCCTCGGTTCGGTAAAGTTTCTGTTCTCTGGTAACTAGACCCGTTTTTTGATTCCCGGGTGGCTTGGGGCCGGGGAGGTTGGGGAGCGGGCGAGGGGAGTGGCCGCGGCCTCCCCTCGCCCCTGGGTAGCTGCCTAGCCCGGGAAGTCATAGCGGGTCCTTCGACCCAGCCGTACCCTTCTATCCTCCCTCCCCGCCCCCCCAACTGCCCTCACCGGGGCGGGCGGGGAGCCCCGGACGCCCAGTTCCTGTCCACCCCACCTCCACCCCTGCCCACCTCACCCCACCCCCACCGCGCTTGCTCCCTTCCCAGCCAACCTTCCTCCCCTCCCCCACATCCGGTTTTGGCGAAACTGGGAGCCCAGAACGGCCCAGCAAGCTGACTTGCTCCTCGATTCTCGGAACCAGAACTGATACTAGATTGATTTCTTCGGGGATGTAGTTTCCTTAGTTCAGCGGACCCCCACTGCTTAAATTAACCAGAGTGCCAGGAGCTGAATTTACATACTCTCATTCCTCTCCAGGGTCCCACTACTTTGGAGGTTTTCTCAAAACTCCACATACAGAAAGCCACCTACCTTATTCCGGTATCCTACACCCCTTCCCTATCTTAATTATACTCCCACCCCCCAGCCCTCAGCATCGGACTCAAGAGCAACAGGGACACTTCCGTTCTACTTTTGGGATTGATGAAACCGTAATGAAGAACACCCCCTAAACTCCCGTAATCGGTGCGGATTCCTATGGGGAAGGCCCATATCACTGACATCTTCCAGGCCTTGGCTCTGGACCTTGAGAGGCTGTGGAAATAGTGATAGCGATGCTTTTTAGGGTAAATGTATGTAGGTATTGGGGGAAGGGGAGGGATCAACCGAGAAGGAATGGAAGTGGTTTAAAGCTCATTTCAGTTTTTGCTGTTCATATACAGTCAATTTATTCATTTACAGGCCGTAAAACTTTATCTAGTCTAAAAGTGTCTGAAAACTAAACTTGCATTAATTCTTGATACAAACAGTAAAATAATGCGCCTTATGATATTGATTTTAATTTTACTCTTAAAGCATTTTTTTTAAGCCAACTACATTTTTAAAAACTATTACTTAGGTAGAGCTGAGAGGGGTCCAACTAGCATTTGTTGTTAATGACCAGTATGTGGAGTCTGGTTTAGCAGTCCAGAATTGACTTTTGGGTTGTATTCACAATTAACAGGCCTAATGATCAATGTTGAATGATGCACTATGTTTTTGTTTAAGTGAAATTTCCTGAAAATTAATTTCAGAATTAATGGAAATTGATGTTGCTATTGTGAGGCATCATAAAAATACATATTTTAAAAGCTGAAGGCATTTCAAACAGATATAGTTCTTGATGAAGCAGAAAGAACATGGGCCAGGGATTTGGAAAACCTGGCTTCTAGCTGGTACTGATCGACTCTGGGAAAATGGGCCTCAGTTTTTTTTTCTGTAACATGAGGAGATTGAATGATTTGAATTCAGAACTCAGAAAGTTGGAAGGGATTTTAAAGCCCTCTGAGAAAGATTTTGGGAATGTTCTCCATTGCTGTCACTTTTCCTCCAAATATATCCTGGCTTGGAAGTCATTGGTCCAAAGGGAATTTGATTCCCCATAGAAATTGGAGAATAGGTAATGCAAATAGAGAGGAACAGCTGTATTTCTGCTTGAGTAATAAACCCACTAACAGATTCTGGTACGAATTTTGGGGACATAAAGAGAATGAGTATATGTACCCTAAGTGTACCAGTTTCTTCACTCTCTCCTGGCAGAAGATGCAGCACTTTCAGTGGTGCTGGGATTCTGGGATGTGTTCCTGTTAATTCTAATACAGATAAAGAAGATATGGTAGAGAGAAAGATGGTGGCAGAAGGAATGGATAAAGAGGCAAAATTGCCTGCTAAAAAGAAAAGAAAGAAGGGTTTGCGACTAAAGGGGAAAAGGCGACGAAAGAAACTGATCCTTGTGAAAAAGTTTAGTAAGGATTTGGGATCTGGGAGGCCTGTTGCAGATGCTCCTGCTTTGTTAGCTTCCGGTGGCCCTGAGCACGATGAAGAGCGTCTTTTTGAGAGCAATATAGAAAAACAGATCTATCTACCTAGTACTAGAGCCAAGACCTCCATTGTGTGGCACTTCTTTCACGTTGACCCTCAGTACACCTGGCGGGCTATTTGTAACCTCTGTGAAAAAAGTGTAAGCAGGGGTAAACCAGGCAGCCATCTTGGGACATCTACTCTTCAACGACATCTGCAGGCAAGGCATTCACCTCACTGGACAAGGGCCAACAAATTTGGAGTCACTAGTGGGGAGGAGGATTTCACTTTAGATGTACCTTTATCTCCCTCTTCTGCTGGAAGCAATGGAAGCTTTGAATATATTCCTACTGATCCATTAGATGATAATAGAATGGGTAAGAAACGTGATAAATCAGTATCTGATGCCCTGAGGGCGGAAAGGGGGAGATTTCTCATCAAAAGTAACATTGTCAAGCATGCCTTAATTCCTGGAACAAGAGCCAAGACATCTGCAGTTTGGAATTTTTTTTATACTGATCCTCAGCACATCTCAAGAGCTGTGTGTAATATATGTAAAAGAAGTGTGAGCCGGGGTAGGCCAGGTTCTCACTTAGGAACTTCAACACTTCAACGACACCTACAGGCCACACATCCCATCCACTGGGCTGTTGCCAATAAAGACAGTGGTGCAGTTGGAAATGGATTAGATGAGGCTGAGACTGAGAGAAATCCCTTGAGTGATACTTTGCATGGAGAGAAGTCTACAGGCAGCCAAGATTTAACAACTGAAGACCTTAGTGACTCTGATTCAGATGAACCTCCTGTGTTAGAGGTCGAAAATAGGAGATCTGAGAGTCCTGTTCCTGTTGCAGAGCAAAGTGCTCTGATGCATGTCCAGGAGAGAGAAACAACATATCGTGAAAAGTCAGTCTCCAGTCAAATAAGTCAGGCGATTATTCAAATGATTGTGGAGGATATGCATCCTTACAACTACTTCTCAACCCCAGCCTTTCAGAGATTCATGCAGATTGTGGCCCCTGACTATAGGTTACCATCTGAGACTTACTTCTTCACTAAGGCTGTACCTCAATTATATGATTCTGTCAGAGAAAAAATTTTCTTAACTCTGGAGAATGTTCAAAGCCAAAAGATCCACCTCACTGTGGACATATGGACCCATGACCCGTCCACTGACTATTTTATTGTGACTGTACACTGGGTCTCCTTGGACACTGCACCTTCTTCCAATAATGGCTGGATCCCCAGTTTTAGAAAATGGGCAGTGCTTTGTGTAACAGGTTTGGCCAAAGACTGTTTGGTAACCAACATTTTACAAGAATTAAATGACCAGATTGGTCTCTGGCTTTCTCCTAATTTCCTCATTCCTAGCTTCATTGTTTCTGACAATTCCTCTAATGTGGTACATGCAATCAAAGATGGTGGTTTTACCCATGTACCGTGCTTCCTGCGTTGTTTAAATATAGTCATTCAGGATTTTTTCTGTGAGCACAAAAGTATTGAAAATATGTTAGTGGCTGCTAGGAAAACCTGTCATCATTTTAGTCATTCAGTCAAGGCCCGTCAGATACTGCAAGAGTTCCAAAATGATCGCCAACTTCCATGGAAGAATTTGAAGCAGGATGAAACTGGCCATTGGATTTCTACTTTTTATATGTTGAAATGGCTATTGGAGCATTGCTACTCAGTTCACCATAGTCTTGGTAGAGCCAGTGGTGTTGTACTCACCTCTCTTCAGTGGACTCTAATGACTTATGTTTGTGATATTCTTAAACCATTTGAAGAGGCCACACAGAAAGTGAGTGTGAAGACCGCAGGACTGAATCAGGTGCTACCCCTAATCCATCATCTGCTCCTTTCCCTGCAGAAACTCAGAGAAGATTTTCAAGTCAGAGGTATTACACAGGCCCTCAATCTGGTGGACAGTTTATCTCTGAAACTTGAAACTGACACCCTACTAAGTGCCATGCTCAAATCTAAGCCCTGTATCTTGGCTGCTTTGTTAGATCCTTGCTTTAAAAATAGTTTGGAAGATTTTTTCCCTCAAGGTGCTAATTTAGAAACTTATAAGCAGATTCTTGCAGAAGAAGTTTGTAACTATATGGAATCTTCACCAGAGGTCTGCCATATTCCAACCTCAGAAGCTTCTGGTCCCTCAGCTATAGTAGAAACTAATTCATTTATTTCATCTACAAGGGAAGGCACCTCCAGTTCAGGGTCCCTTGATAGCTCAGCTGCAGATAATGTTGGTGTTGGAGGCAAAAGTTTCATGTTTCCTTCTGCTGTAGCGGTAGTGGATGAATACTTCAAAGAGAAGTATTCGGAGATCTCAGGAGGTGATGACCCTTTGATTTACTGGCAGAGGAAGGTGAACATATGGCCAGCTTTGACCCAAGTCGCCATTCAGTATCTAAGCTGCCCTATGTGTAGTTGGCAATCTGAATGTATCTTTACTGCAAATAGCCACTTTCATCCAAAACAGATCATGAGTCTGGACTTTGACAATATAGAACAGCTGATGTTTCTGAAAATGAACTTGAAAAATGTTAAATATGATTATTCTACATTGGTTCTGAGCTGGGATCCTGAGAATGAAGTTGTTCAAAGCAATTAAAAAGAAATATTATCTTAATTTCTTTTTTCCTTTCTCCATTTAAAATGGGCAACTTCTTGCTCTGTTACTGTATTCTAATTGCTATAGTTGTTACATACAGTTAACTAAATATTCTTTATACATGAGTCTGGGGAAATATGAAAATACAAAAAAGGCTGAAACTTCTTCAGAGGTAATGTTGATAAAGTGAAGATTAGCTTTAATGATTTCACAGTACTAACTCAATGTAGCTGTCACTTGAAATTTTGTTTATACCAGTTGAGAAAAAAATTTTTTAATTAAAAAAATATAGTGCAGCATTGAAAGTCCTTGGGCTATTTCTGACTGGTAAACTGAATTAGTAATTGGTTTTAAGTAAAAATTTCTCCCAACATGGAAAGTTTGATTGCTCTGAAACCAATGATATTGAGGGAAAAAATATATTAAGCTGATTCCTACCCCCACCCCCATTTTTCTATTTCTTTAAAAATCCTATTTGTCCTTACAGCTTGGAAAAACAAAACTCACAAAATTGTTATACATTTGGAAATTTCTAATTGCCTCCTCATACTGGTCAGCTTAATAATTTCAGTTTATTGAGTTACCCTTTATAGGATTAGATCTATATAAATAAAAGAGAAACATTAGAAAACAATTAGGAAAATTACTTTTAATCTTTGAGTTACCTTTTTCTTTATAAAACTGTAAAAACAAAGATTGTATATAGGTACTTTTGCCTAATTATGGGGTAAATGACATAGTAAAAAGTTTACAAAATTGAAGAAGATTGAATGGGTATTAAAATAAAAGTCCCATCCATAAGCATACCTTAATAGACCTAGTATCCATTTTCCAAAGAATGTTTTTCTGATATTAATTGATCTTAAATGCTTTTAAAAATATGCTGAATTATCCATAAAACAGTATTCTTAACTATTAAATTAATTATGTTTTGACCTCTATTCTTAACTAAAAATAAGCAATCAATATTTTCATGTGTTAGGAATCATTTCCTCACTGGTAAAATGAGAGAATTGATCTCAGTAATTTTTAAGATCCCTTTCCACTCTGAAAGTATGTTTCTGTGATTGAGTGGGAGGCCAGAAATGATGACTTTTAATAAGTCTATTAAAAGTTTCAGACTGAATAACTAATGTAAGATCCCAATTTTTCCTTTTTTTCATTTTAGATTTGGGGATATTCCCTGCCCAAAAATTTCCTGGAAAATTGACTAGTATTAAGTGTGAGTAAAAGGTGTCCACTTTTTTTAAGTTTTGATTTTAGTTTTGTCTTGGATAGTATTTGGCAAGATTTAGCCTAGAAATAATGTAGTATCTATAACATGAGCATCAAAATCGCTTTGTTACTGGGCTGGTTTCAAAATTTAGAATTCATTTCTATGTATCAAATCGGTTTTTTTTTTTTTTTAATGGTAAATGTACCATTGTGGAATGAAATTTCAACTTCAAAAGTTTACCCTTTTACTAACTGGAGTATATGGATAATTAATTACAACATCTTTAGTTGTAGCCATCACTAGTAAAGAATTGGAAACTAGGCTGCATCAGCAAGCCTTTGCAGGGCCAATATTGAATTTCATGCCAGTCGACACTGGTGTTACTATAACAGAAAAAAAAAACTTCCCTTAATAGAAGCTTTCTGTATTTTGACAGTGCCAGTTCAGTATGGCTATAATGCTGCTCTGCCTTCTACAGCTTGCTGCACCACTCTGTAGTTACTCTGTAACTATACGTTTCTATCTTTTTTGGTTAAACACTCCCTGAAGATGGAAAAGATGTTGATGGTATACATACATCCATATTTATACACAATGATATATGTGTAAGGATTTCCCTTCATCTTTATTTTGTGGGCTGGGCAAAATTTTGTGTAACATATTAATATACTTTGTAATACTTTGGTAAAAGAGTAAGTTCACTACTTTTATAATGAATCCAAATCTAAAGGCTTTTGTAGGGTATTTTAAAAGGGAAAACTTAACCAAATGTTTTATTTCTACACATTTGTATGTGTGTGTGTGTATGTGTGTGTGTGTGTGTGTAAGCCAGTTAGTATATATGTATGTCATGTACATAAAACACTTTATATTTTTACATACAAGTATGCTTTTATTTATACAGATAATAAAGATGGGGGAAGATTTCTGTTTTTTTCTTAATAGGTGAAGAAATCTTGAAGACCAGAAATTGGATCTTATTGAATTTTGGTGTTTTTTAAAAAATTTTTTCTTTTTTTTTTTTTTTTAATTTTTAAATTATATTGTTCGGCTATGGAAGATGGATTTTTAAAAAAATAATCTTTTGACTCTAAAGTTCATATTTAAATGAACTTTTTTGTTTGTTTGTTTTTTGTGTGTTTTTGTTTTTTGTTTTTGAGGAGATAACTAGCCCTAGCTGTCTCCAGTCTGTGACAAAGGTTATTCAAATGGACTTAATCTTCCAGTAGTTGGGAGATGTTTTAAAAACACATCCTGTGTTTGAATTGTGGCTGAGAGGTTTCCTTGGCAATGTGAGGAGGAAAATTCTTTCTGCCTCATTATTATTAATTCATGGATTGAGTGTTGGTTCGACCTACAGGCGTGATAGATTGGAACTCAGTGAAGACACAGATGTTCCCGTTGAGAACAACCAGCTAATGTAAGTGTGGAAGTGGGTTTTTTCTCATTAAAGGAGTAAACATTTTTGTAATTTAAGGCATGATTTTCCTGCATCAGTAAGAAATTAGCCATTGTCAAGAATTTTTTCTTTTTTTTGTAATTGTTTATAAGTTTTTGGTTTGGGGTTATAGATACCCCCTTCTCCTTTTTTGATAATACTGTATATGCACATTATAAAAACAATGTAGCCAAGGTGAAATTTCCCTGTAACTGCACATACATAACTCTACCTCATCTTCTTGTAATGACTAAGCAGTGTGCCTTTATATGAATGTGCAGTAATTCAACATATACCTCATTGATATACCTTGGAGTTTTGCCCTTGTAAACAAAATAGTTTGACATCTCGTTACAGCCCTATACGCACATCTCTTTGAACTGTTTCTCAGAACCATTTCTCAGATGTGAAATTGTAGAATTGTTAAAGTTCATTGTAAAGAGGTTGTCCTAATTTACTGAATAATTAATGAGGTCTTTTTGATTTATAAAAGTTCTTGACATGTCCCTTTTAGTAAAGATACTGATCTTTGGCCATGTTGCTAATAGATCTTTTGTTACATAAATGTTTCTCATTTTATGTAGTCTAATCTACCAACTTTATTGTTAAGGTTTTTAACTAGTATACTAGGAAAGGGTTTTTTCACCCTGAGCTTATACAAAAATACCATCAATTTTTCCTCAGTGCTTGGATGGATATATACATACATATTTTAAGATTTTTTAAATATGTATTTTTATTTATTTATTTTTAAAGAGAGGGGAAGGGAGGAAGAAAGAGAAGGAGAGACACATTGCTGTGAGAGAGAAACATCAATCGGTTGCCTTCTGTACACGCCCTAACTGGGGACCAAACCTTCAGCCCAGGCATGTGCCCTGACTGGGGATCAGATCAACGACTTTTTGCTTTGTACGACAATGCCCAACCAACTGTGCCACCCTGGTCAGGGCTCAATGGTTGAATTTTTTATATTAAAAATGTAACCTAGGGATTGTAGTTAAATGACACTGCTGTTCTTCCTTCCATAAGCATAGTAGACATTGTCAAACATTGGCTTGCTTTTTTGCCAAGAGCAGTTATGAACTTACAATCTTAGTATAGTGCTTTAAATTAGTGAGCTAAAGCCTCTGCCATCCTTGCTTTTATTCCCCTGTGACATTTTTATATGGAGTAGAATATTTTCAGATGGATGGCCATTTTTTTTGTTGTTGTTGTTGTTAATTTTAGATGTCAGTTTTCATACATAGACTCACTTGAATTCTGTTGATCTTGTGCTCATTTATTTGCCAATATTACATGTAAATGTTGCATTTCACATCTGTAACATCAGGTTGAGCAAGGCTCTCATTCTTTTTTAAATTTTCTTTATTTTTCTCAGTTATTCTAAATGATTTTGCAGACCATCAAGTTCCAATAATAAATTTTCATTGGGATATTGACTAGAGTTGCAGTCAAGGTATATGGTATTTGAGGGAAAAGTAAACTTTAAATCGTAGTCTTTCCATTATCTTGGTCTGCTGTGCAATAGTACATAGTTTCCATAGTTTTTTGGTTTTGTTTTTAATTTAACATGAGTCTTGTATACTTCTTCATATTCTTCATATGTATCTTACAGTTTTATTGTGAATGAGATTGTTATCTGAATGATTGTCGCTGGCATATAGGAAATGTACTGATTTTTTTTAATATCATTTTAAATATTTTTAGTTGAAGCTAGATTTTTTTAGTTCACAAACATAGAATCTGCAGATTTTTAATTTTTTCTTCATCCTCACTAGCCTTTGAACACTTTCCCCCCTCCTTGTTGTATATGCTAGATTCTCTGGAACAGTGTTGAATGTTAGTGGATACTGAGTGTTTGTTTTTCCTTGCCTTGAGCGAGCTTCTAAAAAGCTGATGGTTTCTGATGATAAGTGGGTTTATGCCACTATAATTAAAAACAAATACCATTTTAAATTCTTTTTTTCCTTTTTTACAATTTTTTCTTTTTTGAAATCTTGATACTATGGTTTTTGTGGTTTTTTTACTCTGCTTTATTAAAGTAATGACTTTCCTAATGTTAAACTATTCTCAGTTCTAGAATAAACCTTTTTTGATCATGTCATGTTACTCTCAATATACTGTGACTCAGTTTGCTTTAATTATGATTTATCAGCTGTATCAGAAATTGGATACCCAAAACAGGTATTTTAAAGCTGTTTTAGAAAGTGGTGAAATAGTGCCAGTGATATATGGTTCTATTCTTTTTCTTTTGTTGAGTTTTTTCTAAATTCTTTTTCTCAGGTAATTTGTTCATGAATATATGGAGTACATAGATTGTATACTATTTGAGACATTTCATGTCTAAAAACTTCTACCAAGTCCTGAAATCTTCGTGAAATGTAGTTTGAAAGGCTAAATCTCTCCTTTAAGTTCTGATGCTTAGCATTTTGTCTTTTTGCATTTAGAGATTCAGATGCAAAGTCAAATACTAAGTCTGATTTTCTTTCCCTTGCTTTCAGTCTGCTTTTTTTCTAGGAGTCTCTATCAGATTCTGTTGTTACCATTGGAATTCAAAAATTTCCCATCTGTAATATAGAGATGTTTTGAAAGAAAATTTCTGCATGGCATTTGATGAGCTCCCCCCTTTTTCCATAGTTTATTATTGTATTTTTTTCCCATTACCATTTATCCCCGTTATACTCTCTTCTACCTCCTCCCACCCCAGAATGATGAACCCCTTTCAAAAAGTTTCAAGTTGATTCAGTATAAGGAAATTTTCTTGTATTGTTATTTTATTATCTCTACTAATTCCATTTCTTACAGAATTTGGTAAGTCAAATCTTCTGGAATTATTTTCATGTTACATACCTTTTGTCTCATCTTGATTCATATCTTTTTGCATTCTGGGAGAAGTCCTGCAAGTGGTATTTTATAATTCATTTACTGTGTTTTTCATCAGTGTTTATCCTAGATTTGAAAATACTTAAAAATCTGTTTTTTAAAGAAGAGGCTAAATTTTAGTTTCCTTATTTTTTAAGCTTTTTTGGTTTTTACTCTTTTGTACCCATATGTTCATTTGTATTAAGCTATACTCTTTAAAACTTGCTGAAAGCATGAGAATTTTAAAAGAATTTTATTTTTTTTCCCTACAATAATTCAGCAGTGGGGTGGGAGAGGGCCAATTAGTCATCTTGGTGTCCTGCTTTCAAACAGCTACTTTTTGTTGAAAAGTAATAGGGTTTTTCTTGGCATCCTGAATACGTTTTTATTCCTTTTAAAACTTAAATATATCAGTATGCATCTTGGTTTTGGGTTTTTATTTGGGGTAGTAATGACTACCGTCAATTTTTAATCTCTAGGTTTTCTTATTGCCATTTTCTTTCTCTTTAAAAAAAAATATATTTTATTGATTATGCTCTTACAGTTGTCCCATTTTTTTTCTTCCACTTTATTCTCCTCTGCCCTGCATTTCTCCTCCCACCAGTACTCCCCTCCCCTCTTAGTTCATGTCCATGGGTTGTACATATAAGTTCTTTGGCTTCTCCATTTCCTATACTATTCTTAACTTGCCCCTGTCTATTGTATACCTACTATTTATGCTTCTTATTCCCTGTACCTTTTCCCTGTTCTCCCTCTTCCTCCTCTCCTCTGATCTCCATTTCTGTGATTCTGATCCTGTTTTAATTGTTTGCTTAGTTTTTGCTTTTTAGGTTCACTTGTTGATACTTGTGAGTTTGTTGTCATTTTACTGTTCATAGTTTTTGATCTTCTTCTTTTTCTTAGATAAGTTCCTTCAGCGTTTCATAGAGTAAGGGCTTGATGAAGATGAACTCCTTTTAACTTAACCTTATCTGGGAAGCACTTTATCTACCCTTCCATTCTAAATGATAGCTTTGCTGGACAGAGTAATCTTGGATGTAGGTCCTTGCCTTTCACGACTTTGAATACTTCTTTCTAGCCCTTCCTTGCCTGTAAGAAATTTCTTGTGAGAAATCAACTGGTAGTCTTACGGGAACTCCTTTGTAGGTGACAGTCTCCTTTTCTCTTGCTGCTTTTAAGATTCTTTCCTTATCTTTAATCTTGGGTAATGTAATCATGATGTGCGCTGCTGTGTGCTTCCTTGGTCCAACTTCTTTGGGACTCTCTGAGCTTCCTGGATCTCCTGGAAGTCTATTTCCCTCACCAGACTGAGGAAGTTCCTCTTCATTATTTTTTCAAGTAAGTTTTCAATTCCTTGCTCTTCCTCTTCTCCTTCTGGCACCCCTATGATTCGGATATTGGACCATTTAAAGTTGTCCCAGAAGTTCCTAAGCCTCTCCTTGTTTTTTTGTTTTTTGGGTTTTTTTTTTTTTTTTTTTTTTTTGTAGTTTCTTCATTGTGTTCTGGTTGAATGTTTATCTCTTCCTTCTGCTCCAAATTGTTGATTTGAGTCCCGATTTCCTTCCCTTTACTGTTGATTCCCTGTATATTTTTCTTTATTTCACTTTGCATAGCCTTCACTTTTTCCTCCATTTTGCGACGATACTCAACCATGTCTGTGAGCATCCTGATTACCAGTGTTTTGAACTCTGCATCTAATAGGTTGGCTATCTCTCTGTCGCTTAGTTCTTTTTCTGAAGTTTTGATCTGTTCTTTCATTTGGGCCATATTTCTTTGTCTTGGTGCTCCTGTTATGTTGTAAGGGGCGGAGCCTCAGGTATTCACCAGGGTAGGGCAACCCATGTCATTGTTGTGGTGCTGTCTGTTGGGAAGGGGTCCGAGAGGGAACAGTGCCGCTTGCTCGGCTCTCAGCTGGCTTTCAGTCACTTGCTCTGCTACCCACAAGTAAACTGGGCCCTTCTGATACTGATTTCTTGGGATTTGGGCCAGGGGAATCCTGCTAAGGCATCAGTGAGGTTCTAGCAAAGGTCCAACTCTTGTCTCATTCTGTAGTGGATCAGTGATTGTCAGGCCAGTTAAGGCAGACAATTTTTTTTTATTGTGTATATGTTGCATTATATTAGATGTTGTTATCATAAAACAAAATAATGAGCTTAATGTTGTTATGAGCATAAAACAAAATAATAAATAGCTACCTATAATTCTATCATCCTGGAAATAACTACTGTTTAGTGTTACATGCTTCCAGATTTTTTCCCATTGTTTCACGTCCTCACCAGCATTTGCCAGTGTCATTGTTTTGGATTTTAGCTATTCTAGAAGGAATTTGGGATTCCCTAATGACATAGATGTTGAGTATCTCTCCATATGCTTATTTTCCATCTCTATGTCTTCCTTGGTGAGGTGTCTGTTTAGATCTTTTGCCCACTTTTAATTGTTTTTTTCTTGTTGAGTATTTTGGATGCCAGTCCTTTATCAGTTATGTGTTTTGCAATGATTTTCTTCCAGTCTTGACATGTCTTTTAATTCTCTTAATAGTGATTTTGCAGAGTAGGAGTTTTCTTATGAAGTGAGCTTGTCAGTGTGTTTCTTTCATGTATTGTGCATTTGGTCTTGTAGTTAAAAAGTTATTGCCAAACCCAAGGTCACCTGGATTTTCTCCTATTTATTTTCTAGGAGTTTTATAGTTTTTACATTTTATATTTAGGTCTGTGATCCATTTATTTTTGTGACAGGTGTGAGGTCTGTGTCTAGATATATTTTTTCCATGCAAATGTCCACTTGTCCCAGCATCTTTATTGAAAAGACTATTCCTTCTCCATTGAAATTGCCTTTTTAGTAAAAAATGAGCAGGTAACTACAGTCAGCCCTCTGCATACACGGATTCCTAACCTTGGAGCTGACCCTTGAACAATGTGGGTTTAAACTGTGTGGGTCAGTTGAAAATACCCACATATAAGTGGATCTGTGCAGTTCATACGTGTGTTGTTCAGGGGTCAACTATTTTATGGGAAGAACCTCAAGGACTTTTTACTCCTTGTTTGTAATTGGTGGGCAACTCTTTGCCCATCTTAAGCTAGCTCTACAGGTATTCTAGAGAGAAATTTCTTTCTAACCTACTTAAAATTATATACTTTTAAAAGAAAAATGCTTGTGAAAAATACTGAAACTTTTGTGAGAGAAAAAATTTTTAGTATGTCAGAAATGTAGATTTTACTTCTGGCCGGTATGGCTCAGTTGGTTGGAGTGTCATCCTGTAAACCAAATGGTTTCAGGTTCAATTCCTGGTCAGGGCACATGCCTAGATTGTGAGTTTGGACCTCTGTTGGAGTGTGTTTGGGAAACACCCCATCAGTGTTTGTCTGACTTCAGTGTTTCTCTCACTCTGTTTATCTCCCTCTGTCCATGGAATCAATGGATATGTCCTTGGGTGAGAAAAAGAAAAAAAAAAAAGAAAGATGTAGATTTAGCAAGTATCTTAAGTATCTTATGTAAAATAATCTAAGCCCCATTAATATACAATGTAGATCATTTGTTGAGTTGGCAGTGCTTATGTTGAAGCAGTTAGTGTAACAAGCACCATAGAGAATGCAAAAGAAAGGGCATAGCTATCCTTAAAAAGTTTACATTTTAGATGAGAATGTACAACATCACATAAGAATAAAAAATGAGTCAGTGTGTTTACAAGGGCCTATTTATATAGGCAAATACATAGTAATACTATTAAAATTTGCTTTAACAATATGATTTCATTAGTTTGGTGATTTGGAGGAGGAAATAGGAAGAATTTACCTGAAATACATTAATTGCTTGTTTCCTCATTTTAGGATTACATTTTAAAGGCGATTTCTCTGATTGAGTTGTCTTTTGGAAGATAAATCCATTTCAAGAGGACTTGAAGCTGGTCCTCACCTTGAGGAAGCGGTGGCTTGTTTGCAAGAAGTCACTTCTGATCTCAGGATCTACCCAGGATGCCTAATCAAGGAGAAGACTGCTATTTTTTTTTCTATTCTACATGTACCAAAGTAAGAATTGCAGTCTCTAAAATGACTTCTTTCTATGATTTCCCTAATAGAATTGGATATTTTCAGTATACTAAGTTGTTTTTATGTTTTGTTTTTCTGAACTGTTTGTTACTTGCTATCAGTTTTTTAGTAAAGGATAGCATTCCTAGGTGAATTTGTTCTTCATCACGTTGTTTCTCCCTTTGTTTTATGTTTTTCATGTTCTACAAATGTGAAAAGGTCTCTTAAATGTAATTAATCTATTCAGGGTGCCTTTGGAATTAAGAGCACTTTGGCCTGTGGCTTACCAACTTTGATTTTATTTGTCTTGTATTAAATGAATGGGTGTATTGTATTGTACTTGTAGAAACTGCCATGTATTGAATTTGACTTCAGATTTCTTCCTGAATACTAAAGCCATCTTCTAAATATGCTTTTGTAGCTTTTTTGCTTTGCTTTTAAAGTTCCCGGTTTTCTCTTTCATCACAGTGCAGTCCATTTAGAGTAATCTGCTGTTTTCTGTTGTTCCTTTATGACTAATTCTATAAAAGTGCATATTATTAAAAAAGCTTTTCTTAAATCATCTTGGTGCTGTGTTTCAAATGAGCTGTTTTGAGCAAAGCCCTAATCTTACATACTAGTTTGCACAACAGTAGCATTTTGTTTCAGATAATATCATTGTATGAAGTATATAGTAAAGCGTAGAATTATACTTAAATCCTAATCTGTTAACTTCCTCTTCTGATTTTTCATTAAAAGCTAATCACACAAGTTGGGATATATTAAATGCTGTTGAAGATGAACTATAAAATGTATTTTTAAAGTGTCTCTTACAATCCCACTTGTCTTTTTCAACTTGTGTTATCTCTCAGCTTGTGTCATTCATGTTGTCAGATAAGATGAACGGTACTGTCAGGAAATAGGTTGTAGAAAATTATAACTTTGTTGACCTCTGATTGTTCTTGTTATCCTGTCTCCATTGTCTTCTGTCTTGCCTTTCTCTCCTTACTCCTTTGTCTAGATGCCAGGAAACTATTATAATGAGCATTTTCCTTGGGATCTATTTCAGTATCACAGTTCTTTTTTGTATTACTCCCTTTGTGTACAGGGTGACAGCTGTCCATTCCGCCACTGTGAAGCTGCACTAGGAAATGAAACTGTTTGCACATTATGGCAAGAGGGGCGCTGTTTTCGACAGGTGTGCAGGTTCAGGCACATGGAGATTGATGTAAGTTTTGAATTTGTATTGTAACAAGTAGTCTGGTGCATTGATAGGCCATTTAAAAATATAAGGAGAAAATGACATTTTATATAACTTTTGAGTTAAATTTTTAGGAATGATCCAGTGAAATTTCTGTCATCATTACAGCACTCACTTAATATCTGCATGTTACAGAGTATGAATGGGTATCATTTTTCTGGAAGACAGTTTGGTAATATATCTAATGTGTAAAAACTGTGTGTGTGTGTGTGTGTGTATATATATATTTGGGGAGTGTTTGCATTTCTTTATTTTCAGACATTCTCAGACTTAAAAGTTGCCAGTACATTGTAAAACTTTTTTCTCTGACATTTGGGAGTAAATTACTGACATTCCCTGTCACCTCCAAATATTTTCATGAGTATTTCCTACAAACAAGGATATTCTCCTATGTAACCATAATAAAACCTTCAAAATTAGAAAATTAACATTGATATTTTACCTTCATTTAATTCTGAGATCTGACTAGTTTTGCCATTGTACCAATAATGTTCTTTATTGTAGAAGGAGCTTGTCCAGCAGAATCAAGTGTTGCCTATAGTTGACATGACTCTATAGTCACCTTCTGTCTGGAACAATTATTCAATCTTTGCTTGCCTTTCATTGGTGTTGACACTTTTGGTAGTTACAGGTCAGTTATTTTGTAGAATGTTACTCAGTATGGATTGGTATGATAACATTTCCTCATGACTAAATTCAGGTTTTGTATCTTTGGTAGGAATATCACACAGGTGATAGTATTCTCAATGCATACCATTATTAAATGGTGTACAATTTTAATTACCCTATTACTGGTGCTGTTAACTTTGATCACTCCATTAAGGTGGTATCTACCAGATAGCTTCACTATAAAGGTTTTATTTTTGTAGTATTTCATAGAAAGGTACTTTGAGACCTTATAATTATCCCATTTCTTACCAGACTTGCAGAATTTTTCGGTGATTTATTTGCATTTGTGCAAATTCATGGTTTCCTGTTTTATTCAGTGTGCTGTACTCCACTACTGTCATGTGTTATACTCAAATAGACCTAGATTTGGCCAGTAAGAGCCCTTCAAGCTGGTTTTTGTGTCCTTTAGATGTTTCCATCATTCTTTGCATATCTCTTTGCTTTCTGGCTTAATCAGATTTCTTAGGTTCATCTGTACTTACCCTTCTGTAACTCTGGAATCAGCCATATCTCCAAGGAGCTCTGGTTTCTTTTAGTGAAAAATAGTATATAGAAATAAGATTTGAGCTGCTCCATGAGTGTTACTGTTTCCAGACCTGCAATGGACAGAAGAAGGGAACATATATATGTATATACATTTATATCATTATTTATTACTTTATGTGTGTGTATTGAAAATCATGAGTTCATCCCTGGCCAGTGTGGCTCAGTTGTTTGGAGCATCATTCTATAGCTGAAGGATTGCAGGTTCAGTTCCCAGTTGGTGCACATACTCGAGTGTGGTTTAAATCCCCAGTCTGAGAGTGTACAGGAAGCAATCGATCGGCGTTTCTCACATCGATGTTTCTCTTTCTCCCTTCCTCTCTCTCAAAGCAATGAAAAAATGTCCTCACGTGAGGATAAAAAAAAGAAAAATTGTGAGTTCATATAGGTGCCTCCAATTCATCAACACTACACATCCGTCATCTTTTTTATACTTGTAACTCTCTTCTCTGTAAGTGAGAAACTTGGTTCCTGTTGTCCTTAATATTGCTTATTTGATCAGTTGCCTGTTTATGTAAACCAATATTATATTGCAGCCTCTTCCTTCCTGTCAGGTTCTGACATCACACATGAGACTGCTTTTCCACAGGGACAGTTTTCTTACCTTGTTTCGAAGCGATCACCATGAACCAGCCCTCCCCCATTGTTTCACTGTGAGGACTCCTTCCTCACCCTACTTGGACGTTGACATCCTAGGCAGGAGCCCTTTGCCCCTTATGGATGCTTTTTTCACACCTTTGGATTCTGATACTCTGTTGGGCAGCCCTCCCATGTGAGGTGCTTATTACTCTTCTCACCTTGTTCATTCTCTGACTCTGTACCAGGTCCCCACTCAGGAAAATCCTCCCCTTCTTACCCTTGGATGCTCATTCTGGGCAGACTGTCCATACGTATACCCTCCTCAGCCTACATTGAGATCGCTTCTGCACAGAGTTCTTGCTTGCCTTGCTCACCCTGCTCAGGCTCCAACACTGTGCCAGGCCATCCTCCTATGTAAGAAATGTCATACTAACTCCTCAGGATCTGACACCCTGTGCCAGTCCCACCTTGTCAAGTAGATACCTTCCTCATCTTGGTCAGGCTCTAACACCCTACTCTGGGCCACATACCCTTCCCTTTCCCAGCATGAATGCCTCCCTCAGCCTCACCTAATGACTTTGGACTGAATTGTTGGAGGGGGTGTGGTAGGAAGGAAGAGACTAAATATGCATCTTGTCTGCCTGGGCTCATATAGCTACACTGGTTCCAGATTTATAGTCTCTTAACTCTCTTCTATGCTGACTATGCTTCCAAATAGCAGGGAATTCACTAAAATTCACAGATAGGTATGTGTACTCTGTAACTTTTGAAAAGGTATGTTGTAACCTACTGGCAAAGTGTAAATTGGCACAGTTCCTTGGAAAAGTGCATCAGGGTCTCCAGGATCTACATACAGAGATTCTCTAGAAGAACTCATGGGATTCGTCATGTAGTTGTATTCCTAGCTAAGATTTATTACAGCAATATAGTAGGGATACACTGTCTGATCATACTGTGTGATCATAAGAGAAAAGGACACAGGCAGAGGCTAGAGGAATCCATATGTGGTTTTTTTATTATCTCTCCCTCCCATGAGAGATCACACAGAGCAGACACTTCCCCCAGCCATGAAAATGCAGCAATATGGTGTGATGTTTCTACCTAGGGAAGTCCATGAAAGACCTAAAGTTATCGGTGTGGGTTGCGTAGGGACCTTCTGCTTAATACATACCAAGCTCCAGACTCCCAGAAGGATGACAGGTGTTCAGCATAAGCCATATTTGCACAGATAGTCTCGGCACATTCTGAGCGCCAAGTTTCCAAATGCCAGCCGAGGGCCAACCTTGCAAGCTGACTGTGTAATGATAGCAGTTTTAGGGCTGCTATATTAACTCTTTCTGCACAGAGGCTTATTTGGCTACATCTTTAAAAAGTACTATTATACCTGTGTCTCATATGTGCAAAATCGGATAGATGCAGAATTACTCTCTGTAGCATAACTTGTAATAGGAAAATGTATGAAACAACAAAACTTTCATTGAAAATAAATTTTACTGCATCCGTTGGTGTGCTGTTCACAAAAGTTTTTAAAGGGAAACTACTTAAATTGATATGGAAAAATCGAGTAATATAATCAGTGAAAAAGTAAGGGCCAGCAATTCCACTCTGGGAATATATCTTAAGAATCCCAAAACACCAATTCAAAAGAATATGTGCACTCTTGTGTTCATAGCAGTGCTATTTACAATAGCCAAGATTTGGAAATAACGTAAGTGCCCAACAGTAGATGGGTGGATTAAAAAAAAAACTGTAGTATATCTACATAATGGGATACAACACAGCAGTAAAAAGAAGGAATTCTTACCTTTTTTGATAACATGGATGGAACTGGAAACTATTATGCTAAGTGAAATAAGCCAGTGGGTAAAAGACAAATACCATATGATCTCACTTACAAGTGGAATCTAATGAGCAA